GATGGTAAGTGTAGCTCCTCCATGATCAGTTGATGTGAAAGTGTATGTTCCAGTGTCTTGTGGACTAAGAGGATCAATGATCAGATCTCCGGAATCTGTCAGTATTATTCTTGAATTGTTGGGTGAGATGGTATATCCACTGGAGACAGGAGGAGCAAAGTTTGATATATTTTGCATCTCAACTCCATTAATTGATAAAGAACCTATAGAGATATACCAAATTATTGAAATTACCTTCATTTTATATTAATAAACAAACTTACCAGCTACACTGATTATTGTGCTTGATGAGTTAGTACTTCCTCTAGAGTTATTTGGTGTACAAGTATATTTACCAATATCAGTAGTACTGATACTTGGTATAGTAAGAGTAGAATCTGTCTCCCCAGCTATTAATATACCATTTCTAAACCATTGATATGTAAAATCATCAGGAGTACCACCAACTGTAACATTAATAGTAACTGAACTCCCTGAAGACACTGTCTGTGGATCACTGATACTAATGACATATGCTGGAGCTATAGAAATAAATCAAGAAGAAGAGGGGAATTAGATACATGAATTATTTCAAAGAACAGAAATTAAAGTATAAAATTTGGAGCTAATTCTGATCAGAAACTTATGAGTTATAGGCAAAACTCTGGACCAGGGTTTTCCACAAGATGCACAGCTAGGAGAAGTTTTTTTCCATTTTTATAATTTTTTCTGAATTTGGCTATATTGTCTTTCGCCAAATTTTTTCAAAGATGCCTAGGAAGAATTCTCTTTTTCATAATTTTTTTTTGATACATACACATGTACTAATGTTGCATAGAAAGTTGGGGCTGATTCCAACTCGAAATAATTTTTTTCTAAAATTTTAAAGCTGCTAAAAAATCCTGTACCATATACATTGTCTTGATCAAAATTTACCCAAATTAAAAAATCAAAAAATCATTTTAAAATAATTTTTAAACACATGTCCTTATTTTGTATATCAAGTTTAACCAGACTCTGATCAAATTTAAATTTTTTTACAAATTTTTAATGTTGCTTCAAAAGCCATGCACAATTGTGGTGCTTGTCAGCTCATGAAGCTCACACTGTTTAGCCTCACTTAGCATGCCCTGGACCATAGACTATAGTACACATAATATGACAATACAGTTCTGTATCTGTAAAGGTTATACAATGAGGTGGAGGTATCTATGGCATTTATCATACTGAGGGCCATAGGCTTGAGGTATGACAAGGCCATAAATATATACCGACACAGAGTTGTATAACCAACTTCTACCATGTACCAAAATAAACAACTAGTTTACTTAGCAACACTTAGCTACCAAGGGCTATGCATTTTGAAACAGGAGGTGAATAAGTAAACTCCCAAGCTACTTATTCACCTCTGAGCTACTTATTCAATCTCCTAGGAAACTTGTTGGTAAGTAAGTTATTTATGAACCTGAAATTGAGCAATCTGATTGGTCAATTACAACTAGACATGGTAGAAGGTCAATTGCAATTATAGCTACAAATTATTTCTTTATGCATACTGTGCCTATTCTAATCACAAATGGCAAGCATTCAAAACTGAACTATGTGTGGGTTAGCACAAAAAGCTATTACAACAATATTTACATATTGCAAAGTAACTAAATAAGAAAAACTACAGTAGTGTACAGTTGGTGGAATTTAACTTTGCTGTTTACACTTCATTATAATAATGAACTTCACAAGTAAAAGGTGTATCAAAATTTTGCACCTACACCAGAAAATTAAAGTTTGCATGCTATAAATTTTGCTCTATTTGCTAACTAAAAGTCTTACAAATAATTGTTTCTAAGCATTAGGCTAATTTTGAAAGCACTATCTTACCATATACATCAACAGTGATGGCAAGTGTAGCTCCTCCATGATCAGCTGATGTGAAAGTGTATGTTCCAGTGTCTTGTGGACTAAGAGGATCAGTGATCAAATCTCCTGAATCTGTCAGTATTATTCTTGAATTGTTGGGTGAGATGGTATATCCACTGGAGACAGGAGGAGCAAAGTTTGATATATTTTGCATTCCCACTCCATTAATTGATAAAGAACCTAATATTATAAATAACAAAATTAACTCTGTTTATTAATCAACAAACTTACTTGTTACACTGATTATAGTGCTAGATGAGTTAGTACTTCCTCTAGAATTATTTGGTGTACAAGTATATATACCAATATCAGTAGTACTGATACTTGGTATAGTAAGAGTAGAATCTGTTTCCCCAGCTATTAATATACCATTTCTAAACCATTGATATGTAAAATCATCAGGAGTACCACCAACTGTAACATTAATAGTAACTGAACTCCCTGAAGACACTGTCTGTGGATCACTGATACTAATGACATATGCTGGAGCTACAAAAATGAATGAAAAGGAATACTACACATAAAAATAGTCTTACCATATACATTAACAGTGATGGTAAGTGTAGCTCCTCCATGATCAGTTGATGTGAAAGTGTATGTTCCAGTGTCTTGTGGGCTAAGAGGATCAGTAATCAAATCTCCTGAATCTGTCAGTATTATTCTTGAATTGTTGGGTGAGATGGTATATCCACTGGAGACAGGAGGAGCAAAGTTTGATATATTTTGAGAATCAATTCCGTTTATTTCGAGTGACCCTAAAATTAAAGTCCAAGTTTTAAATTTTTCTCTAGATATTAATTTGTACCTATGACACTAAGTTTTGTTGAAGAAGTATTCCTATTTCCATATTCATTTGTAGGATAGCACTCATACTCCCCAACTTCCCTTTCACTGATGCTAGCAATGCTAAGTGTGCTAGTATTAGTACCAGAATATTTCCCTCCATCACTTAATGTAACTCCATTTAGTCTCCATGAGTATGTTATACTCTCCGGTATGCTGCTAGCTTCACATGTCAGAGTGACATTAGAACCAACACTGGCTGTCAAGTCATCCGTTATACCTGTCACATAGCCTCCAACTAATTATAACAAGTGAATGAAGTTACTTAAACTCAAGCAATATACATTTAACTAACCTACTACTTGAACGTGGTATGTGATTAAACTGATCTCAAAGTTATTAATAGTGTCGACTTGATATATTCCACCACTGCTAAAGGTAATGTCACTAATGTACAGTGTCCCATTTTCAAATATTGAAAACTGTCCTCCTGACACTAAACTGCTTCCATTCATCCACCACTGAGCTAAAGCTCCATCATCAATATTGAGAGAAATAGAAGAGTCAAGCAGTGCAGGAATACTATAACTAATTTCGTTATTAGTCAGTGTAATATTTGGGCCTAGCATTATGTAATAAGTAAACAGAAACAAATGGCTTTTGTGACTTACGTGTTACAATCATAGTTCGAGCTAAAAATACACGGTTGCCAATGAAAGTGAAACAGCTCACAACGTGCCCAAGGAGGTTACCATTGGTCAGATTGAGCCACATGTTATTGTAGCCCACAAAATCAGCATCAGGTCTTGCAGGATCAAGAGAGCCTTGATAATAACGATTCACATCACCTGAGATTCTCCACCTAAAGGACAACATAGTACACTTTTACAAAAACTTAAAAAAATTTATTGCCATGTGTATCATGTACTCTTGTGCCATAGTCATCATTGCTACTCTATACACTGACCCTAATGTCACTGATAAGTTTCCAGAGCTCTTTGCACAGGGCACAACAACACCTTCATTCAAGTTCTCATCATAGGTCTGTGGTAATGGCTTCTGGATTAGTGGATCATAATTGTCAGGTTCTACAAAATCATCATCTAAAAATACAAAAAACAGATCATTAATAAATGACTCATTGCCAAATTTACTCAATATCAACCTGCCAACAATAAATACATAAATGAATTTCGTGGCACAACATCTGACACGACACTCAATAAAAGGAATGGGGCTGACAAATGATGCTCAGTGACTTTGACCTTTCTAGTATTTAAAGTGTTGCATTAAATGGGTGGTTTTTGATTTTGAGTGCTGTAGCAACTTGATTCTATGTCCGATGCATATATTTGTCACAAGCAATTGGCGGGGCTGTGGCCCCAGGCTTTCATTCAAAATATTTATGAGGGTTTAGTTCCTCAGCTTCTCACCCTAAGTGTCAGACTTATTGATAGCGTGTTAAATAAATATCACAAAAGCTCTGTTAATGAATATGCTTTTCAAACAATTAGTCAATGACATATGTGACACTACGCTATTCTATTGATTTAAAATTCGAATCAGTCATCTAAAGTGAGATCATATCTTTGATAGAGGTGACTTGTGGTAAGCCCTTCCATTTCTGCAAGCTTCCCAAGTAAAATTTGTCCAACGTCTTTTATTTCATTATACTCGTGCAGCTTCTGTATGTGGTCCTGTAGCTCATGTTCACTGTATTCTTCTGCTAGCAATGCAATCTCTTTCTCAGTTTCTGAGAGCTTTAATTTTAGCGATTCAATCTCAGACAATAGCTGAGTATTTGGTTCAGCTCTTGTACATTGTTTAAAAGGACTAGATGATATTGGTTGTGGGATTACGGCAGTAACTTGGCTGCTTAAATCCAGCTGCTTCTCATTAGACTTTTCCTCAACACCACAGAGCAATGATACCTTGCTAGGGCTCACAGATTCATGTTCAGTTTGTGTCTCTGACGTGCAATGATGGGAAGAACAGTTGGAACTAATCATGTATACGGTAGCACTAAAGTTTAAACTTTTCACTGGCTTCTGTTGAATCACTTTGCACATAACTGCACTATTAAGAGCAGCTTCACATTCTTTCAAAGGTAACCCAGTATCTTCACATTCTTTCATAATCTCTTTAAAAGATTTGGGTAAATACAGCATCTCCCTCAAAATATCACTAGTAACCGCCATTTTGAAATACATTAAACCACAATAACTAATAAATTGCTATTATTATAATAAAAAATGAACTCACCAGATATAGATAGTGTTGCCCATCTGCTGTAGATTTTCTCAGATGGCTCATTAGGATTTGTAGCAATGCACCGAACTCTAGTTAAGTTCTGATAGTCCTCAATAAAATGCATTTGTAAAAAAGCTATATTGTCAAACTGAATCCTGAAATTATAGTCTTTGTCCCCACTCTTAGTTATCTCATACACATTTCCATTTGGTTCTTCAACTTCCCAAGACAAGAAAGGACGTACAGCTCTATAGATTGGTCGACTGAGGTTACACTGAAATGGAGCAAGTTCTCTTCCTTTTACAGTGGTCTCAGATGTACCTATTCTAGTATCGATCAGGTAAGATGTGTAATCTTCTGGTTCATTATGAAGAAATTCTCTTTGAGCTGTAAAATGAAGAAAGTACAGAACCATTAATTAAAAAAAAAATTAAAATAGTGCAGGTACAACTAGTGATCTAAGCACTTGCATGCATGTATTCATGTATGAACTGGCAATCACTATGAGGTAGCTCTAATAAACTTTTTAGTCTGACTTGCTAAACCTCAAATTAAAGTTTGTTACCATGATTCATGAATAAAATTTGCACTTCAATCAACATGGAGATAGAAATCTAACTATTGATAAAAACTTAGTTATGATGGGTTAGCAAAAGTTTTTTACCCCGGCTTAACTGCCAGCCTGGACTAATATGTGGCATTATATATGTGCAACCAATAGTTAATTGTTCCTTACTGAATGTGGTGATAATAGTAATCCTAGACAAGGCAATTGTAGTTTCATCTGCCTCACTACTCATGATGGAACCAGCAGCACATCTATACTCTCCTGAGTACTCATAGGTGAAATTCGCGATTGTTAGGAGGGTTCCCGTTAGAATGTAGCCGGGAGTGGAGTCTGTAATGTTTAGGGCATTATTATGCATCCAGTAAAGAAACTGTCCTTCCTCTATGGTGCAGTTTATCGTAACAGAAGAATAGAGATTAACTTCGCGACTCTCAGCAACCTCCAGGAAGCTAGGAAAACTTGCGGCGAGGCTCACTGCATCAGTGCAGAAAATGCAAAAAAACCGGCAATAATAATTAACAAATTGGAATATCTGTTAAGGCTAACCTTGAGGTGCTAGTACCAGAAGACATATTATTAGACACAACATATTCTGCAGCATTATTACCCTCCTTGAGATTGGCAAAGGTTGCTGCGAAATAAAGCACTGAGAAAGATATCGCAGAAATTTATAACAAAGCCCCCGTGTGAAGTGTGATATTTTGCCCTCACCCCCGGGAAAAATAATTATTGTTGTTGAGCCGTCCACTCCCGTATACTATTCATTGTGTGTGACGTGTACTAATAGAATAGGCCTAGATCTAAGAGAAGAGCTGAAGGAATTATGCTGATAAAATTTGAGAGCAAGAGCCATAGAGTAAAGGGTAAGAGGACATGTCAATTTTGTCAAGTCAGTCTGTGTGAGAGCACCCCACAGTACCACAGCAAGTGACATGTGATGTTTCTAATTAATGCCCATA